GGCACCATCAGCTTTCTTCACCACATTTGCTTATACACCTGCTTTGTCTTCAGTGATTGTGTCGGGAAGGTGAGCATCATGGAGTGCCAGTTTAATAGAACAAAGTATTTTTGCATTGAGGGAGTACTTGGAGGTCCAATGTCCATGTGCTACCTTAACAGTAAACCTATACATGTATGCATATAGATCTATTTCTCATATATAAATATATTTGCCTATGTACATGCCTTTATTTAGACCAATATAAATGCCCTTTGCCTCCTAGCTCTTTCCTCTTATTTCCTTTCACCTTCCTCTTGTCCCACTATAATGTTCAGCCCTCATTTGGGTTTCAGTAATTCCTCTCGGTTACATTACCCTTGCTCATGCCCTACCAGGCCTCCTCCTACACCCTCCTCACCACCGATTTGGATCCCTTGTTGTTCCCTTGTCCCTGGGTTTGTTAACACCACTTCCTTTCCCCCTACCTCCCCTTCTCCCATGTACCCCCCCCAGAACTGTTGGTCCCGTTGTTTTCTCCACCAGATTGTTCATCCAGCCTATCTTATTTAGACAGACCTGCAGAGATAGTAACATGCACAAAAACAAGACAGAGCAAAACAAAGCAACAAAAGAAAACAAAATAACAACTAGCCAATGGCAAAAAAACCCAAAAAACAAACAACGAGAAAGAAAAGCTTGTAGTTAGTTCAAGATGTGTTTGTTGACCTTTAGGAGTGTTTTCTGGTCAAGTCTGTGGGGTCCTGAGCCCTGGCCCCAAAGTCTATTTTTGGTACTGAATATTTTTTCTAGGTAATACTTTATGCTATGGTATCATTCCTTAAACTTCTTATTAGTAATGTAATTAAAATATTTTATCTCCATTGCTTTTTTGTATTACTATTTTGAGACTTGTTTGGAGGTTCTAGCAGGAGAGCACAGCACTTGTACACCCTTGACTGAAGGACGGTCCTCCTTCTATCGGGGAAGGTCGTCCTCTTCAACCGAGGACGTACATGGAGTGATGATGGAGGAAGGGGACCTAGCCATCTTAACCCTGGAGGTCAATGGGGTGACAGATGTTGCAGCCAGATCGCCCTCACATCCCGTGTATTATTATTCTTAACTCTTTCTACTTTACAAAAAAACCCCAAAAAAACCCCAAAGAGTGACTTTCTAGAATTAAAAGCACAAGACTGCACTAGAAATGATTTATACTAAGTTCAAGGGGCATTAGATTTAGAAGCTAAGGGAGTATTCTGTTTTCCTTATTTTGTGGCTAGAAGAAAGAAAAGTGGTCATTTAATTATCCCAGCATCACTTGTATTTTATATATTGAAATGAGACTCCGAATGTAAACTGTTCAAGATCACTTCACAGATTATGGTACCGGTCTGTTGCCATCACTCATGGTGAATGCACCACTCCCGTGTGCTCCAGAATAGAATTGCCCCATAGGGTTTTCATGGCGATTGTCTCGAAAGAACAGATTTTTCAGACTTTTCTTCCTGGATCTCCTGGATGGATTTGAACCACACTAACTGTGTTCATCTGGGTAGACTAGAGAAACAAATTCATAGACACTTATATGTGTGTAGGAAAGAGCTTTATATACAAGAGTAATTGAACATTAAGAAAACATCCCAGTCCAGTCCATAAGTCCGATATTAGCCTATATGTCTGATACCGAACTAGAAAGTCCTCTTCAAAGTCACAAAAAACATGCCATGACACCGAATGTAGGAAGATTACAGGCCAGTGGGTGGGAAGTCTTGTGGATCCAGTGGTGGTGTAAGTATCTCAGAGCTGGCAGGGGTCTCCACGTGGTTCCTTCAGCTCTGAGGCTCCAACGGTCATCGGCCTCTGAGAGAAAAAGAGAGAGAGGCTGTATTTGAAGGAGGAAGAAGGGAATGTTATAAAAATGTATCAAATGCTTAATAGAAAGTTATGTATTAGTCAAAGGTTAGTGCTAAGGGAGGGACCCAGAGTGACTGGGCTCGGCCTCTAGTGCCTGGATGGGAGGGGAGGGGGAGGAGGGGAGGGGAGGGGAGGGGAATGGAATGAAAATCTATTTCCATTCATTCTTGGGGAGTATGGGTAAGTAGTGGAGATGGCAAAACAAACATAGTATCTAGTACCAGTAGGATGGGTATTAGGAACTCTGATGTGGTTTAACTTTCCAGTGCAAACTATAATTGGATTGTATATAACCCATGAGAATGCTAGTATTAAAAGTTGTTTTATGGACAGGATTTCCAAACGTGACAGTTTGTATTTTATATTCTTTTTTCTGCCTCTGCTTCTGTTCCTTCCTTCCTTTCAACTTCTGTTGCCCTATTTTGGCATCCTGTAGGACTTTTTCTCATTTCTTTTCTCTGTTAGCTACGTAATGGTATGGTGGTATTTAAAATCCCTACTTTACGTAAATTTTAATCTTGTTCCTAATTTTTTCGCTCATTGTTGATCAGTTCAAACTTCTTTGGCTTGGAATCCGAATGATTACTTGATAAGAAGCAATTTGTGGTTAAGTGTAAATGACCAATTGGCCATTTAAATGTCAAAATAATTTTCTAAATAATCAGGCATTTGCCTAGTTAGCAGAGCTTTAGAGAGACCATTTTGTACAATCTGTATTTATTTTTATTTATTTATTTGCCCTCCTATCTCCTACCTCCTAAATATTTTGAATGAAATTCAGTAATAGGAAGATGCTGTAAGTACCATATTTATTATCTGTTAGTTTCTATGTCATTTCTAATGATAGAATGCCAGGAAAATAGGAACATTGCCTGGTTAAAATCTTTTACCTTAATGAAGGTAATAGATGGTTGTCATCTTAGACTAGTTTATGTACTTTCTATTTTCTTCCACATTTCTTTTAATTCTTTATCAATTTTATAATAAATTATTTTTCAGCAAGCTTAGTTAGGTGAGGCCTAAGAAACAGTACTCTATTTTCTGAGTTCTGAAAGTTTGCCTGTTCGTCCTATAAAGGCACTAGGTCTGAAGGTAATAGAGTCAGATGATACCACTGGAAAAATCCAGGTGATATTTTAGCATTTTGATGAAGGTAATCTGTTTGAAATAAAATCTTATGTAAAGTGTATCATGTAGGTGACTTTTATCCATTCTGTATTCTTAAGCATACTTTTCTCTTCTGACCCTGTTTTTCCCTGATAGTGTGTGCAGTGGCAGTAAGGAACTGCTTAGAGTGTCAGCAGCATTCACAGCGGAAAACTCAAGGGGATACAGCCAGGGGCCCGAAGGCAATCCCTGGCCTGATTCCCATGGGGAAGTCTGCAGCAAAGGTAAGAATACAGAATGCAGTTCTGATTTCATTATTGAGATCTGAAAATTATTTGTTCATTCCAACCTAAAGTTAAATAAATCTGACAGGATTCCCAGTACAGTGAACCCTCGTTTATCGCGGTTAATTGGTTCTAGACCCTACCGTGATAAATGAAATTCCGTGAAGTAGGATTCCTTATTAGGACTTGTCATGATGCGCTTTGCTTCCTTGTTGAAAGTGAAAGTAGCCGTAGCACGGATGTTTTTCCTCTTTACGAACGGAAGACTCATTCAAGTCGAAATGGCGTGCAACCTCCACGATTTTCTTGCCATCTTTGATCATATCCAAAAGTTTTACCTTTTCCTGGATGGTGAGCATCTTCCTCTGGCGCTTATTTTTATTGTCAGAAGGCTTAGAAGAAGCAGCTCGTTTAGGAGCCATCATAGGGCTTGGATAAAATTTCTTAAAAATCGCAAACAATTACAGTACACTGAACAAAAGCAAAAATGCATCTGATATGTAGCTCCGATACGTAGCGATGCAGACAGAAGCGTGTACAGTATGAGCCAATCAGTGGCAGTAATGACAGAGCATGCGCTGTTACGCAAAAACCGCGATAGAGTGAAGCTGCAGAAGTCGAAGCGCGAAGTGGCGAGGGTTCCCTGTATAGTTATTTTAAGCTTTGGATATAACATTCAAATATTTGTGTCTAAATATACAGTAAAGATTTGATTATACTTAATCTTGTCTGCTTTTCTAAATGTTTACTTTCCTTGATGATTCCTTTTCCTTCAGAGATGTCTATTTGTATTTCTTGTACTTGGTGAGGTATTTTGCAGCTTGGTTCTCTCTGTGTGACTCTGCTGTACCTGCCCTATACCTTATCTTCACCTTGTGCGTCACACCCCTCACCTGAACCCCTCCAAAAAAGAAAGATATGAGTAGGAGAAACACAACAAAATTGGAGAAAGGATTGTTGTAGCATTAGTACAAAATGTAGCACTTAGAATACTGTGTTACCAGCTTGCTGAAGGTGGTGGATGACAATGGGAAGCCAAATTCCATTTGCAGGGTCCACATATGGAGTAAGCCTCTGGTCAATCCCCTCTGACCACAGACCAGGGATGTGGATAGTGCTGTCGTGCACACTGCAGCTGTCTTTTGTTTTTGTATTGTTGTATGTTTCCTGTCAATGAAATCCAGGGCAAGTGAAGCTATCAAGACAGGGAATGCAGGTTTCTTGCAGACTCTGGCAGGGGAAGTTGGGGTAAAGGGGGAGCTGATAACAGTGAGTACAAGACAGAAGAAATGGTTCTAAAATTGATTGTGGAGATGATTGTACAACTTTTAATATGATTGAACTATTGAATGATAAGTGAATTATATGCCAGTAAAACTATTAAAGAATAAAATCAACTGGATTTTAAAAAGAGAATACTGTGTTTATTTTTGAAATGATGTCTCAATGTGTGTGTACATATTTTTGGTCTATAGAGCCCAGTGGATATTGTAACTGGTGGCATATCTCCAGTAAGAGATCTGGACAGACTCCTACAAGACATGGATATTAATCGGCTCAGGGCAGTAGTCTTCAGAGACATAGTAAGTTATTTCTTTCATACACTTTATTGGCTTATACATTTTTCTTTCTAATTCCAAAGCATTTAGAGTAAGAACACTGGTGTGTGTGTGTGTGTGTGTGTGTGTTGATAGTCTATTTGAGGTAGGGAGTTCTCTTGACAATGATTTGTAAACATTAGGCAACTGGAAAGGATTATCTAAATGGGGTTAACTTCAAAAAGACTATTTTGTAAAAGTTATCAGAAGAATACTGATATGGCAGGGGCCCCTTTGGATAGGCCACTGATATTCAGATGAACGTTTGAGTAAAGGTGAGTTGTAGTCAGGAGGAAGGGCCTCCTGCTCTGTCTCGCAAACACTTTATGTTCAATCCTGGACATGTGCTTGTCGGGCGAGTAAAAGCACTCTTTAACGGTCCTCTGTCATCCTCTTGTGTATCCGATGTGTATCTGATAGTCTCACTTTTTTCCCCCTCATTGATGTTGGTGTTTTAGCAAAACTGGTATCGTAGTTTTTATGTTTTTTAATTTTTGTGATTTGAAGTGTAAGTAATCAGCTGTTTACATATAGTGATAATTTTGATTTAATCTTATAAAAGACATTAGAATCTATCTTTTTAGACTCCATTATTTACATGTCAGCCTCTGATTTTTCATGCTATGCAAATATAAAACTACGCATTTAAAAAAATCTGTTTAATATTTGCTCTGGGGAATTTAGAAATTTTCCTGTGATTCTTGATGGATTTGTACATATTTATTTTAAAATACTGTCATACAAAAGAAAATGAAAACCTACTGTGTAAGTGGCATAATCAATTTCTTTTCCTTTTTCTCAGGAGGATAGTAAACAAGCCCAATTCTTGGCCTTGGCTGTTGTGTACTTTATCTCTGTTTTGATGGTCTCGAAATATAGAGACATTCTGGAACCTCAAAATGAAAAGCGTAGCCAATCATTTAAGGAGACAAGCCGGGAAAGTGGGAATGTGTCCCTCCGTGGTAAGTTTTTGAATTTTGTTCCCTAACGTCCAAAGCTCAGGTAAATTATTACGTCCACTTCACAGTGTTTTTGTAATTTAAATATTTATATATGAAACAAAAACATATATATTTCTTTCTACTAAAGACTAAGCTAAATAGTTTTAAATTATTATGCAAGTAATTTCAGTCGAGAAATAATTGTTTTCTTTAAATTAAGCCATCTGCTTAAAAGATAAGAAAATGTTATTGTTTACCATAAAAAGTTAAAATGTTTTGCTTATTGAAGAATTTTCTAAGAATGAGAAACTCACTTTCTCTTAGGAGAGGTAGAATGTTTATAAGTAATTAATAATTGGAATTTCATAAGTAGCTCTCAGTTATAGAAGTATAATTTTTTAAAGTCTGAATTATTGAAGTTATTAATTTAGTTAATAAAAGTCTGTTAAAAGAGAGATTTATTTGTTCAAGAAAAATTTTTTTTCAGTACCAAATAGATGCTTGAATAAAACACATATCTTTGTTCTCATAAAACTTATATTTTTATGTGAGAATATAGAAAGTAGCAATGAATAGAAGTATTTCAAACTTTGTTTTGTTAATTAGATGAAGATTTAAGAAGGTTTTCATAGTTTGGCTTCAGAAGTTCACACACATTCTGATTTGACGTAGCTATTGCTTATCTCACTTCCTCCTTGAGTCTCCTCCTTTTTGGATCCTCTGACTTTGGTTCTTGGGGAAATGCTGCCCTTTTGATTTTAAATGGTTGATAATTCTATCATGGAGGGGAATTTATTTCCAGACCTGAGGGGTGGCTAAAAGCCATAGTCTTTGGGGTCACACCATTCTCCATCTGATCAGTAAGTCTGGTCTCTTTTATGACTGTCAGTTTTGCTCCATCTTTTTTTTTTTTTTTCACTACTTTATTCAGATCGTTTTTTCAGAACAGTGAGTAGTCGTAGTCAGGCACCATCTAGTTCTTCTGGCTTTAGGGTTGTGGATACTAATGTTTGCATAGTCCATTAGTCCACTGGACTAATAGGGTCCGTGTAGTTTTCTATTTGGGGGGGGGCTTTTTATGTCCGGATGTGGAGAGACCAGTAGTTGCATCTTAGATGAATTTTAAGACTCTATTTGATACTCACTGAATTGGGATGTAGAATTGACTTAGCTAACTACATTTTGCCAGTTGAACCTGGTGTCCCCCATGATGTTGGTCCTGATACTCCAGGCCCAGGGACCCATTCACTTAAACTTTAGTCTTTGGTTGTTTGTAAGAAGTTTGAATAATTTTGTACCCTGTATATTCCACCATATTTATTTCCTGCAAAAATGAATCCACATATACAGATACCGTCTGTCAAACCTATATGTGTTCATGGGTATACTCCCATTCTTATTCCTACACTTGTTCCACCTGCATGTCTATCCAAGCATCTACCACCACTAATGTGAGATCAAAACCAAAAAACCAAACTCACTGCCATTGAGTCAATTCCAACTCTGAATGACCCTGTTAGAACTACCCGTACAGGTTTCCAAGACTTACCTTTTCTTTTTTAACATTTTATTAGGGGCTCATACAACTGTTATCCCAGTCCATACACACATCAGTTGTGTAAAGCGCATTTGTACATCGTTTCTCAAAACATTTTCTCTCCATTTAAACCCCCGACATTAGGTCCTCATTTTTCCCCTCCCTCCCCGCTCCCCCCTCCCTCATGAGTCCTTGATAGTTTATAAATGGGTATTTTGTCATATCTTGCCCTGTCCGACGCAAGACTTACCTTTTCACAGGAGTAGAAAGCCTCGTCTTTTTCCTGTGTAGCGGCTGGTGGTTTCAAACTGCTGGTCTTGCTGTTAGCAGCTCAGTGTGTAACTACTGTCCCACTATTGTAAGATAGTGTATTATAAAATAAGAAAATTGTTTAGGGGCCATGTCTGACCTCACTTGGCTACACAAACCAACCAACCAGCCAACCAACCAACCAACCAACAACAAAACAAACCCAAATTCACTGCCATTGAGTCCATTTGAATGACAGCAACCTTACGGGACAGTGTGGGTTTCTGAGACTATAACTCTTTATGGGAGTAGAGAGCCTCATCTTTCTCCCACAGAGATAGAACTATGCCACCAGGGTTCCTACATGGCTCCACAGGGGTAAGGAAAATCAAACTCATTAGTAGCACTGCCCCAGGCTAATTTCTACGTGACTGATTTCCATCCATCCCTCACAAGGCACTCTGAGTCTCAGCTGGTTTCGAGAATTCATAGCATTGGCCACACACAATTCACAGACGGTGCCCATGATTATAGGGTTTATATGGGAGGCTAACAGGTTACAATTCAGGTGAGAAATGCTCAGGATACACTTGTTCAGCCAGCACTGTTTCTTCTCTGCCATCTGTGTAAGTAGATTTCTCTCTGGCACTCAGCCTCCTGGCCTGGTCTCTCCTGCTTGAGCAATACTGCAAAGCTCTTTTAGGGTTGTTTAATAAATGTCCAAAGGGCATGCTGGTTTAGCATAAGGCTCAATCCAAAGGCACTCCACTCTAGATCCATGGGTTAGCAACCCTAGCTCATCCAATTAAGTGCTCAGAGACACAGCACCCCACCTCCAGCTTTACTTGATCTAGGCGGGGAAGCCCCCCACTCTGATACTCTGGCTCCTGGTTCTGCTGCTCTGCTTCTCCTCTCGTGTCAAAGCTATCTCCTGGTTCAAGGAGCTTCAATGTGCAGGGACCTCAGAGTCAAAGGGATGCGTTCCAAGCCTAGCTCTTCTGGTAGCGAGATTCCTTTTCTTCTTTCTGATATGTCTGAGTTTGTACTCAGAAGGATGGTGATTACAGTGGACCCTGTTAACAATCACTCACAGATGAATCATATAAGCTAATTAATATATTTCCTCACCTTTTACCAGGCCCATCAGGAAAACTGGAGGCCATTGGTGGAATTAATAAAGGTTAGGGGAAGAAGAGCCATATTAAAGACGTCACTGTATTCCATGTATTTAACAGCATTTGCCTTTGTTGTCTTTAACTTTTGGAAGCCTCCCAGTGCCTCCCTCTGCCTCCATCATTTTTTCCTAATCTACATCTTATTCTTTCCCCTTTAGAGTAGTTATCACTTGCCAGTTTTCTAGCCCATCCCATCCTTTGTAGCCATTAATGTTCCTTTTATTGTGAAAACATGTTCTTGACTTTTTCTACTATACATATTTTTTAAATCATTTTATTAGGGGCTCATACAACTCTTAACACAATCCATACATACATCAATTGTGTAAAGCACATTTGTACATTCATTGCCCTCTTCATTCTCAAAACATTTGCTTTCCATTTATTCTATACATATTTTAAAAATATATTGATTACTTGGGAGGAGAAGGCGTGGTCAATGAGTATATTTTAATAATTGAAGAGTATTTTAGAAGGTGATTAAGTGCTAATTCACAAAATAGAATAGGATAAAAACACCGGGAATTAGAAATGGGGATAGGTTTTAATTTAAGGGAAACAGGAACCATTTGAAGGCTTTGAGAGTATGTGCATGTCTTCCAACTTGTATTTTAAAATAGCCTTCTGAATTTTTGGTTGATATCACGAATGCGAAAGCAAGGAAAATCAGGGGTTTGGTTATCTGTTGTTGCATAACTCCCTGCAAGCTTAGAAGCTTAAGACCACAGCATCTCACTCCTTTTCATGATTGTATGAGTTGCATTTGTCAGGTCACAGTGGGGGTGACATATCTCTGCTCCAGATGATGCTTGCTGGGGTAAAAAGTCTCAGGTGGCTTCTTGGTTCACATGCTATTACCTTTGCTAGGATGCCTTTGTAGCTGAGGATAACTGATGGAAACAGCTCATTTGTAGCTCTATCTAAGGGTGTGGTACTTGCTGTTAGTTGGATTTCTAGATTTTACTCCATTAATTCTGAGAACCTTTGTGTTAGGCTGAGTTCACTAGAGAAAGAAACCCAGAGTTGAGAACCTCTGCTGTACAGATTCATGCAACCACGTGCAATAATGCAAAATGCTGGAAGGTCATAGGCCAGTTGGTGCAAATTCATGTGGATCCAGTGGTGGTGGATGGATCTCCAGGGCTCTGGCAGGTCTCAGCCTCAGGGCTTGCCAACAGGAAGGTGAAACAGAGAGAGAGAGAGAGAGAGAGAGGGAGGGAGTGAGGGAGAGAGAGAGAAAGAGAGTTATCAAGATCCTCCTTGTGAGATTTTCCATGCCCACCAGGAGGTACCATCAGGGTGTGACCTGATTGACAGGCTAAACTCCACCCCTTCACTTCTATATCTTCAAGTTGACACAATGTTACGTAACTACCACAACCTCTTTTTCTCCCCATGGCTTCTCTGAATGTTATTTCTACATGTTCTGTCTGGCAAGGTAGCCCGATTTTATTACAGAGCAGCTCTGGGATTCCAAGAGTACAAAAGCTTTTAGATCTTCTTAGAGCTTGGGCCCATTACTGGCATCATGCAATTTAGGTATTCTATTGGTTAACGTAAGTTAAGTTCAGCCCTGATTGGAGAATTTTGCAAGAGGATGTGTATTAGGAGGCATGGCTCAATAGGCTCTTTAAAGTACCTCAGTCTATACTACGAAAAACTCAACCTAACTCACAGGCATCGAGTAATTTCAGACTCACTAACTCTCCTGGACAGGGTAGAGTTGCAGGATAGTGTATTTTTAAGAAAAGAAAAATCATGTCTGACCTCTGTTGGCTTCCCAAACCAAAAATACAAAATAAAACAAATAAACTATTTGACTCAGAGTGACCCTATGGGACTACACCCGTGGTCATATTTGAGATGGTGAAAAGCAAATTCCAGATATATTTTGAAGGTCTAGACAACAGGATTTTTATATATTGTTGTTGTCAGGGGCCATCCAGTCAGCTCGGACCCATAGGGACCCTGTGCACAACAGAGCGAAACACTGCATGGTGCTGTGCAGTACTTCTTCCCAAACGGATTGGCTTGTCCTTTTAGCTGTCCATGGTACTTTCAATACTCTTCTCTAGCACCACAGTTCAAATTCATTGATTCTGCTTTGGTCTGCTTTATTCAATGTCCAACTCTCACATGTGTATGATGCAACAGAAAATGCTGTGGTTTGGGTCAGGCACACCTTAGTCCTCAAAGTAATACCATATATTCATATTATTAAAGATCCTTTACCTCTATCCTTAGGATTTGGAACTTTATCAAGATCGGTAATTAGCAGCCTTATTTGGCTACCTGTTGTAGCTTGGAGGGTTTTCTCTTGAGTTTTATTATCAATCATAATTATGAAATCCATGTTTGGATATGTAGCCCCCCACCCCCAAGGGGACGAATAACAGAAATGTGGGTGAATGTAAGATACAAAATAATAATAACAATATATAACTGATCAAGGACTCATGAAGGTGGGAGTGTAGGGGAGGGAGGGGAAAAATGAGTTGCTTATACCAAGGGCTCAAGTAGAAAATGTTTTGGAAATGATGATGATGGCAATATATGTACACATATGCTTGATACAATTGATGATTGATGTATGGAATGTTATAAAAGCTGTAAGAGCCCCCAATAAAATGATTAAAGAAAAAAAATCCATATTTGTCTATAATTAATTTTATCCTCAACTATAATATACATTTACCATAAAAGTATGATTCCTATTAAGACTTCTTTCACAGAATGGTAGGCTTTCTTGATTTAGAAGGAAGTACCAACAGACTGTAATGTTGGTCCCATTCCTTAGAGTACTGGCTTATCCTGTCAACATCTTGTTGCATGTATGTTGGATTAGAAAAAAATGTAACTAGTGGGGACTCCATCCAAATGCTTCATGTCTGGAAATGACTTACTGTGATATGAAAGGATAGACTAGGCTAGTGTCATGGTCTATGTGAGAGATGAAGAGGAATTCAAGTAGGATAAATGATTTGCAGTTGTTGTTTGGAACAAATGACATAGTTTGGAAATATAGGAATGACTGAACCCAATGAGAGAAGTAAGTCCTTGGCAATGGAGCTCTTTATATGACATTGATCTTTCTTACCCAGAAGTATCTCAAATTGCAAGCCTCTGATTTTGAAACACCTGTATTTTCAGAATTATTTTATTTCTAATAAATATAGCAGAGAAGTGGTTGACTGTCTATATAGATTTTATGTGGGGCTTTATATGGTAGTGGCTGTATTTATTCTTTAGTTTTACTCTGAATTTTAACGATAGGCATAGTTGTAGCACATTTCATACATTATCTATTTGGCTTTTGCCTTTTAGGATATCTTACATGTTCTATAATTTGAAATAATAGAATAAAGCAGCAGTTAGAGCTGTACCTTAAAAATTTTATTCTGAATACTTTAAATTTTTTTTCTTCTCTTTCTGTCTAAGATGTAGAGAATACACCACCAGCGGTCAGCCCTGTGCCTGTGGCCCCTGGGGAAGAATCAGAAAGGATGTCAGCTGCACGGAGGAGGAGAGATTCGGGCACTGGGGAAGAAACAGCTACTGGAGCAGGAAGCAGTGCGGGTGTGACCCCTCAGGCGGCACCTTCTAGTGTCAGTGCTGGGCCTGATGCAGTTAGTGAGGTGCTTTGCACTCTTTCTTTAGAAGTCAATAAATCTCAGGAAACCAAAAATGATGGAGGAAATGAGTCGGAGAACAAGGCAGCACCATCAGTTCCAGTTTCAAAAAATGTGAACGTGAAGGACATTCTCCGAAGCTTGGTCAACATACCAGCTGATGGAGTCACAGTGGATCCTGCCCTCCTGCCGCCAGCCTGCCTTGGAGCCCTGGGTGACCTTTCAGTCGAACAGCCTGTGCAGTTCCGGTCTTTTGACAGGTACTGTGAACAGTGTTTGCCTTTGAGATAAGTATATTTCAAAATGATGAAGATTTAAAGTTAAACTGGAATTCAGTTTAACTCTGCTAAGCGTTGTAACTTCAGCACCCGAAAGAGATGTTTTGTTCTAGTTGATAAACATTACAAGGATTTTTTTAATATGGCTTATTTTCCATTTCAAAGTTTTATTTATTAATAGGTGATTTAAGAATATATTAAGTTTGCACGATGAACTACAATGCTTTTTTTGTTGTTGTTGAAACTGAAATATTCTGTACTTTCCGATGGCTATCATTGACCCCCTTGATACCAGTACAGTACTAAAAAAGATTTTTCCTTTGTGGGGGAAAAATCGAGATCTGCATTTGAAGAGGAGCCCTGGTAGCATGGTGGTTATGTGTTGGGCTGCAAGTTTAGCAGTTAGAAACCACCAGCTGCTCTGGGAGAGAAAAGCAAGACTTTCTACTCTCACAAAAAGTCTTAGAAACCTAGAGGCGCAGTTCTACCCTGTCCTATAGGGTGTCCAGGAGTCGGAACCAACTCCATTCGACTTGTCGCTGTGGTTTGTAATGGTGGATTCTAACAGATTGAGGAATTGAAGATTCTCAGCGCCCTGAAAGCTTGGGAAAGCTAACAACACATTTCTCACTGTGTTGGCTCTACTGTGATGGCATGTGTATCCATGTGATTTTGTAGCTTGTGCCACTGGTATTTCAGATACTATCAGGGCCACTGCAGGGGACAGGTTTCAGTGGAGCTTCCCAGACATGAGTGAACTGAAATGGATTGATGTTGGTCATTTTCAGACAGACAGTCCTATGGTTTACTACGCTGGGAATGACAAATCTAAGAGAAATGGTGTCCCATTCATCTTCAAAAAGAATATTTCAAAGTCTGTCTTGAAGTATACTGCTGTTTTTGATAAGACAACATCTATTCGCCTCTGAAGAAGTCCAGTTAATGTTGTGTACCAACCGCTAAAGCTAATGATAAAGAAACTGAAGAATTCTACCAACATTTTCTGAGATTGATCAACCATGCAGTAAAGATGCATTGAGGATTATTGGCAATTACAATGTGAAAGTTGACACCAAAGAGGAATGGCAGTGGTTGGAAAACATGGCCTTGGGGTAATAAAAGCAAAGCTGGAGATTGCATGGTAACATTTTGCAAGACCGGTGACTTCTTGATCTGTCTTGGATGAAGTGCTACCAAATTTTTTTTTTAGGAGAGAAAATTCCGTGGCCTTTATGTTGTATACTTTGGATGTTGTCAGGGGGCACCAGTCCCTAGAGATGGACATCACATTTGGCAGATTATCAGTGATAAAGAGGAAGAGACACAATGACACATTGACTGCAACAGTGAGATCAAACATGATAATAATTGTTGTGCATAGGGTTGCTATCTTTCAGAACCAACTTGGTGGCAGGTAACAGCAACAAGAAGATTCTCTGAAAGAACATAGGAAATAGTTACCTCAGTAGAGGGTCTATAAGATTTCCCGAGTGAATAATACCTTGGTCCTTGGCTTTGCACGGATGAAAGTATTCACACCGAAGTCCACTTTGTTATCCAAGTCGGTTTTTATGAAGGACAGAATAAGTGTCAGGTTTAACAGTCTCAAAAGGGTACACGCTATTTCAGGGAAGAGTGCCAAGCTGCACTGGGCTGAACAGCTGAACATAAGCAACCTCATGGAACAGCTCACCCACATGTTCGGATTGGCGGGAGTCCCAGGAGGCCAGAAGCCCAAGAAACCTAGAGGCCAAGGCAAAGGCTTAGCCCAGAGGCTTTGCACCCCAAGCGGGCCCAGAGTGGGCCCTAAGGGGACATGCCCAGGCAGCAGTGTGTCCTGATTCTGTTGAGGAACAGGGTAAAAGAGCGGCTGCCTTCCCACAGCCAGGATCTTTAAAACCTCTGGCTGGGGAGCCATGGGTGATGGTACTGGTTGATCCCATTGGTGTGTTAAGGCCACCTGGGTGATGTCATGGGCCTTGGCCTAGTTTGGACCTCCCAAGGTGTATCTCCCACATGGCTCCGGGGCTTGAATTTGAGCATGCTCAGTTTGGGTGTCTTCACTGGTGTGTAATAAGTCTCCTGATTTCCTTCCATCCTTCTCTAGGGGGCCTGTGCAGGCATGGGAGAGACCATCCCCCTTCTCCCTGAATCTAACTACATGCCTAACAGTTCTTTTTGGAATCATCTGCCCTTTTGACTTCTTTTATCTACTTCAGTGTTTGAGCACTATTTTTGTGTTAGGCTGGGTTGACTAGAGAAACAAATTCAGTGACACTTTATATATGTAAGAAAGAACTTTTATATCAAGAAGTAATTGTATATCAGGAAAACATCCCAACCTAGTCCGATACTAGTCCATAAGTCCCTCTTCAGACTCATACAGCCACATGCAACGATGCAGAATGCAGAAATATCAGAGGCTGGTAGGTGCAAAGTCTTGTGGATCCAAAAGTGGCAAAATCATCACAGGACTCTGGCAGGTCCCATAGTGAGTTGCTAGCAGGAAGGTGAAGGCAGAGAGAGAAGGGGGTGTTCCCAGGACCCCCTTGATGAGAAGGTCATGCCCACAAGGAGGCAGCATCAGGCTGTGAACTGATTGACATGTTGAATACCACCCCTACACTGCTGTATAGTTTGAAGTTGTCATGAGATTATGTAGCTACCATAGTCTTGGAGGGATGAGACAGGTAGAAGTTCTGTTTATTTAAGGGAAATGACATATTTGTAGAGTATATAGAATCACAGCTATATTTATTACTAAATTCAAATGTCTTTATTTATAAAATAGACTATATAATAGTATTTCTAATATTATGTAGAAATTATAGAACAAGATCATTAGTACCATATGCATGTCAAATTTTGTGAAAGTTAATTCAGTTATAAATTTTACAACATGACAGCCTAATGTAGGAATTAGAATACTGGCTCTAGAAATCAACCTAAGCTGGCTTTTAGCCCTGGTTGTAGCACTTATTTGTGGATTTGAAAAAACAACCCCTATCTGTAAGCCAAAATTTCTCCATCACTTAATTGTGAATAGTGATATTGCTTATAATTAATCTATTATTGTCGATATGAAGAAATCACTTTAGAGGTCAGATTGGCTCTTGTATTGTGGTAGTTATATAATCTGTAATTAATTTGAGACTCGAAAGTGAAGGGATGGAGCTTAGCCTGTCAGTCAGGTTGCAGCTTGATGACCTCATTTGGAGGCGCTATGGAGATAAAATAGCTCGTTGGAGGCGGGGCACACGCTAACTCCCTGTGAGACATTACTGACAACAAGCTACATGGACACACATTGATGGAGCCAGAGCCTTGGAGCTGGAGGAGCCATATGGAGACCCACGCCAGTGCAAAGATGCTTCTACTGCCATGGGATCCACAAGATATTGGATATATGGGCTAATATCGGACTTATGGACTTGATCTGGACTGGGCTGGGATGTTTTCTCAATATTCAATTGCTCTTGTATATAAAGCTCTTTCTTTCT